CATGCGAAGAACCCTTCCTTCTAGGTGATATTGGTATGCTGTCTGGAGTAAAGCATCTCCAGGAATACAGTAAGATACAGTAAATATATCTGTGTCACTTACAGGATATTGAAAACAAAGGTTGTAAGGGATGATGTGTGTCCTAGTCTCTGAAATGCTTCTCTGGCTAGTTCTCTTTGTAAGATTTTTTGTGTGTATATATGTTTATCCAAAAGTTTAACTGTCGGTTTTCTTATGTACACCTAGTAAAATTTAACCAGTTTGTGTTTCAGAAGCTCTTCAACCTTTTGTGTTAAGATGAATGAGACTTCAAAGATCTGAGAAGCCTGCATTGGAAGTGGCCCACAGGATTCTGTGATGAAGATTGCACTGAAATTCCCATTTCTCCTATTGAATTGATCTCTTGACTTAAAATCTTAATGTGGAATTTCATTCCACAGAAGTCAGTCAGCTATTTCACAGTCCTGGTTATTTAAATAAGCTTTCCCCAAGAGGAATACAGAGGTGCTTTATCTAGAGATTAAAGTAGGAGGAAGGGGGTAATAGTGTTTTTTTGGCATCTGAACCAAGTCACAGTTTGCCTGCAGGCGACCTGTTTGTTTAAAGCTCAGTCCTTCTGTAAGTAAATATATTCTCCTCTTGTTAAGTGTTGCCATGTTTAAGGCCAGTAGAGCTGTGGAGATCTGCAGCTAGACACATGTTTGTGGCAAGTCACTGCAATTTAACTGTTGAATCTATTTTTGCTTTTCTTAAAGCTTCCACTAGACTAAAAAAATAAATAAAAAAATGCCCAACTTATAGTTCTACAAGGAGCTTAAAAAGCAATACTGCCCATAATAGCTTTCACTGCTGTCCATATCTTGACAGCACTACCCTGAAAGCATTAGTTTATGGTCTTAGATTTGTGTCTGTTTTTCTTCTCTGTGTTGTTCTAAGTTTTGAAAAGAATCATATGTTTGCATAAGACACATAAGGAATGAAGTTTTTAGGTCAAAACTTTTTTCTGTCCTATGTTAGCATATGTTTTAGAAAGGAAATAACACACTAAGTGCTGCATATGTTTTTGTTAGAATGAACTTCTGTATTGTACCTTCTGACTGGCCCGCACTACTGAAGTATACATGTAATGCACTGCATAGTCGTTGTGCTTCCTTATTTGCAGAGTCTCAATAAAATTGCTAGGCTACAATTCTGTTGTGATGAACCTTTGCTCATACAGTGCTTAAATGCACTCTTGCTGAAATTGCTGGCAGGAAGCCTAATCTTACAAGGTGGCCAGTATGATAACACCTGTCAAAAGTCTGTGGGGAACTCTGTATCAAGCCTATGATGGCAGGTTTTGTGCTTGTTTGTAAGAGCGTTCTTGGTGTGATATCACTGTGTGTTCTGAATTCTTCTGTAGCCCCACATTCAAGAGGCATTTGGAAAGCAAGGCTTTTGTTTCAAACTATATTTAAAAGACCAAAATCTGTGTTTCTTGGTTCTAGTGATAAGTACTCTTCACATTTAGAGTTTGTTGGGTTTGTTTGGTTTTTTTTTTCGGTGTGGGTTGTTTGGGTGGTTTTTGGTTTGGGGTTGGTTTTTTTGTTTTGTTTTGTTGGGTTTTGGGGCAAGCTTGTTTTTTGGCAAGCTAAGTTCACTGCATCATTTTAACTTCAGATTCTTAATGCTTTACTTTTGGCCTCCTAAACACTGCAGAAAATAAAATAATTATACAGGTTATTTCTTTTGGTCTTACCACAGATTTTTCATAGAACATAAGGTTAGAAGTGCTTCATTAAATGTAAGGGCCCTGGAATCTACAACCCCAAGAACACTTTCAGAATATGTTTAATGATCCTAAGAACACCAGTGCAGTTTTGGTTTTCAGCTTTAGTGCTACTGTATGTTGTGAAAAATGACTGAAATGGACATGCAAATCAAGGGAAAGGGCGAAGGGAAATGTTCTGATTTTTTTATTTCTATTTTATTTTTAGTTTGCATGAGACTCGCTAGAAAGTAGAACATTGTTTCCAGTTACAGAAAGCAGACTGAACTGCTTTGAGGTTTTCTGCTGCAATGAATGTTATTTCTAGTTCTTTTGTGGAAAGTTGCTATAAGTAAGGTGTGTGCTAAACAAGCAGTGTTTAGGACTTTAACCGTACCATGATAAAGTGACCTTCAACACGCCTTTTTAAGAGATGTATATGGAACCTCTTTCTGTAGTCAGCAGAATGTATTTGTTAGTAGTTGGAGCACAAATGGCTATTCCAATTGCTTGTCTATTTCTACCATCTTAGCCTGGATATACCGATCACTTGAAAAATACACACGTATTGATGTTCTTTTTTTTTCTGCAGAATGTTGCACCATTAGATTGGCAGGCAGTGCTCGCATAATAGTAATGCTTTTGCTCTTCAGCACACTCTGGAATTTATTTAGCACTGGTGAGGACTAGGACCTTAAAGGGCACTAAGTAGTTCTCAAGAAGCAGAGTTATCATCAGTTTGCTGATCCTACTCTGTCTTCAGAATGATATGCAAGTCTGAAGTTTTCAGCTTTCGGTGAGCCCCAAATAGCAAATGCTTAAAGTGTTAACTGGTGGTTGAGATGGGTATCTACTTTTGAAATGTAGACTGATATTAGTAAAATGGTATGGTTTTGCCCCTTACTTAATGGAAATATAACTAGCATGTGAGAGCTGCGTAACAGCTGAGCCATGCATGGGTGAGTAATTTGACCTTCAGGTAGCTTAGTTTTCTAAATAGTAATGTTTCTGGGTGACTGCTTGGAGTTTTGTTGGTTATGGGTTTTGTTTTGTTGTAGAGTTTTTTGGTTGTTAGGGTTTTTTTCAGTAATACTACTCAATACCTCACAATAGCTAGAATGTTCTTCTTTACTAGACTTGTTTTGTAATTAATGGTACATTTGGGCAATGTAATATTTTCTTCTTGTGGTGAAAATGAGTTATCCAATCTCGAGTTAGATATTTGAGTGTTTTAAAATGCTGTTTTTTCTATCAAGTAATGCACTCACATGTGCGTGTGACGTGATTCAAACATTTACAATTCATATGACATGCTGCTTTCGTCAGGGACTTGGTTGTGGGTTTTTTCCTCCCTCTCTAGCTTCTGTTTTTCCTGAAAGGTTCTCTGTGATGTGCGGGGATTTGTGGTGATGTGCTATATCAAAGGTCTTTGCTAATTTGATTATAAAAATTGCTTTCGTATTCAGTGCCTGTAATCTAATTTCTGTGGTAGCATGCTGTGATTCCTTGTATGTGAGAATTAATTTTGATGTGAAGAAAACAGCTACAGGTCACAGGATTGCTGAGTCTTAAAGTATGTTTGTAATAGTGGTTGGGGTGAAGGAAGAAGATGCAGTCATGTAGCGTGCATTGTTTCTAAAGCTTTGCGTATGATCAACTAAAGATTTTTGTGGTGACGGCAGTGTATTTCTTATCAATATGTTGGTAAAACATTTCTGTTTTGAAGACAATAGGACAGGAATTGTTGGAAACATAAATGAAAGATTGTTTTTCTTTACAGCATGCCTATGAAGAGCATCATGTCTTTGTTCCTCTGTGGGTTTTGTTTTTTATTTTTTGGCTCATTGTGTTTGAACTGTCCTTGTCAGTATTTTGTAGTGTTGTATGTCAACGATAGCAGTGTGGAAAGCTTAGTAACTGTTCCAGACTTGAATAATTGCAAGATGTTTTGGGTTCCCCCCCCCCCCCCCCCCCATCCCAAGAGCTGGAATATTTGAAAGGGGAATGAGAGCAGGCAAATGAATTGGTACTGCAGTGTTCCAACTGGATCGTACTTGGAACTCTGTGTTGTGGCAGCTTCTAACCACTCAAGGAGTGGTAATTTTAAACTGCTTAAACTCTTAAGACCCCCAAAATCATATTTTTTCAGCTCAACAGCCTTCCTGAGTTTATATATTGCCTCTACTGGAGAGTGCAGGTAAGCAGAAGCTGAAAAATTTGAAAAGCATTTAAGCACCTCAGCTTTAATTCCATATGGCTGACAGCATCTCTCTCATCCTTCTCGGATAAATGATCGAGGATCCATTCTGTATTGCCCTTCTTCCTCCTGCTTTTACCTTTGTTCTAATGGATGGATTTGGGGATTAAATAAACAATGGTTTTAAAACTCTTTACTAGTTAAGAGAAATATGATGATTTATGAATATAACTTTATGTAAATATTGTGAGACTTTTGCATTTTGAAATCCTCAAATCTGAGCTATAGCCTGCTGACAGTCCCTTGCTCCACCTTTATTTGAAAGAAATATTGGTGCCACATTTTGTCTCAGCAGAGGAAATGCCAAATCCCTTTTGTATTACCTAACTGGTGACACTGTGTTTTGGTGTATACATGCGCACACACACGCATTCACGTTTAGAGTCTGTTTTACTCAGTGAACAGTTCCTTGTTTGGTTGTCCACTCTTGCTTTCTGGCATTCATCTGACCCAGTTTCAAGCCTCATTTCAACCCCCCTACACTCCTGCTTAGTAAATCCCTCAAGAGTTATTATAACTATTGGTGTTCTCCCTTACACTTTGCAAATTATTAGGTATGCACCTTGATTCTCTTAAATGCTGATAACGTTGCCTTAACATTACTGATCTTTGCAAAAGATGGGGCCTTTTGCAGCACAGGAGGTGTGTGGAGATGCTCGGGAGTCCTTTAATGCAAGTATTCTGACTATCTGTTTTTCTGAAGCTGTGAAACTGTATCCTGCATTATATTGCTCAGGAAGAAAATTATAATAATGAATAATGGTCACAATTCCATCTTCTCATAGTGATATAAAACTAGTTTTACATGTGCTAGACATGCATGTGATTTGTCTCCTGGACAGTTGCACCAGTGGTGACCTCTTGAGCATAGGGATTTTTTGTGGTGTTTGATTATTCCTCTTTCCACTTCTTTTATAAGGGTTTTTGCTGTCCTTAGCTTAGGAAGTTTGAAAATATTTGTCTTTTCTGGCCCTTCATAATGCTACACTTCAATGTGTGTATCTACTCCAGCTTTAAAGAACTACTGGCTGCTGTATCTAGCAAAGATACTTGGGTTCAGTTAGCATTTGCTTAGCTTGCTGCAACAGTTTTACTGATCCCAAGATAATCCCTGCTATCTAAGGGGCTATGTTGGACTTAATGTATTTATGAGGCTTTTGATTTTGGGGTGTGTTTTTTTGCACTTTGAGATAGGTGCTTATATAAAAGTTGCTACTGGTTTGATTTATGTATTTTCTAGTGAAAATGACACTTCAGAATTAAGTTTAAAATTAACATCGCTGATGACTGAAGGCAGGCCTGGCCAATGCGCTGTCAAGTTATACCAGAATCTTCCCATGGTTGAGTGTCACTAGCCCTCTGCTGTGTACTAAGAAGTGAACAGGAAGGGGACTGTTAATGGGGCCACAAATGGTGACAAGTCCCTTGGTCCACTACTTCATTGTGATGACCTTGCTAACTTGCAGCACCATCTCGGGCCATCCTGTAAAGTTGGTCAGCAGCCTTATTTCTGTGTAATCTGAATTCTGAAGAGTATTCCTTGCAGTACCTACGTAGCTTCACTGATGATTTTGTAACATATACTCATGTAAGTGCTGCACTCAAGCTGCTCATGGGTTTGGACTGGAAGGTTGGCTATTCTTTTCTTAATGAAAAGGGGGCATTTCTGGAGATGTGATAAGATGCAGTTAGTTACTGTAAAATACAGGCATTGTTATATCTTGCATTTTGCTCCATTGTGTGCAGATCAGTATACTTTATTGATTATTTTGACTTTTTTTTTTTTCCTGTTTATTGTGGCTGCTTTGTGGGGTTTTATCAACAAAGGTGGTGGTGTAATGAATCCCAACACTTTAACAGTGTTAGTTTCTTAAAGATTCTGCACTGACACCTAGTGACAGAAACGGAAAAAATAGATCAAAGTTCACAGGTACCTGTCAGACACCATTCTGTATTTTTGCCAGTAACAATGGCATCCTTTATCCTCTTCCTTATAAATACCTTTTGTCCTTTATGACAATATATGTGTATTTTTTGTGAATATGAGAGATCTGTGCTATAGGTAAGATGATCAGAGGTGTTTCACTTCAGCTGAGCTTTTGTCCCCATCTTCCTCCTAGTATTTTTCAAAGTTGTTGCTCCAAGACTTTGCCAACAACATGCCTTAGTCCCTAACTTCTTTGTATGTGCTTGGCTGGTTGCAAGCCCTGAGCTATGCTGGAATTTAGTCTTTTTCTAAACAAATCTTCATAATGTGAATACCTTTTAGTGTAGTTGTATGGCTGTTATTTTGTAGGATAGATTTTTCTATTTAGTAATCTGATCCGAGAATTCTGGGGGAGTTTCCCCTCTGGTATACACTTAACCTGCTTGCTTTGTTGAGATTGGTTTTGAGCTAAATGCATGTAAACATTTAGTAGTGCGTCTTTTTTGGGGGGGTGTAGGTACAGCTCTTACTTAAAGCTGAATTGTTGAAGCGAAGGAAACTTTCAAGTTGTTTTGTTTTTGTTTTTTTTTAATAGGTAAAATAATTCGCTACCCTGTCTTAAAGAACTTGAAGTTGTTTACATTTTAAAAGAGGTTGGCATGCTTTTAGTGTTGGAAATCACTTTAGTAGAGGAGCTGGAAGAATGGAAACTGTGTTTTGTATAAAAGCATTGGGGGAGTGGAAACCCACACAAAAAACAGCAGCTGTTGAGAAATCCTGGCTAAATACATATAAGTAAAATCTGCAGGGATGTTGAAGCTGCCTTTGACAGCTGTCTGTCCTATAGCTAGGATGAGATTTTCATTGTTGCACTTCATGTATCTATTTCAGTCATATCCATTATGCAGTGAAGAAACAGAACAACTGGCTTGTGTTGCGTTTCTTGCTGCTGTTGATGACGTGCGCCTGAATACGTTATTAGAAGCCAGCTACAAAATGATGATATCTAATAGCTGTAAGATGCTCCAATGTGAGGGCCATAACCTTTCTTTTCTTTTAACTGGTCAATTTCTTATTCCAAACGTGATGTAATTGATGTATTTCTTTTCCTTATGCATTCTGACTTGCAAGTGGTTTGTTTGAAGTCAGAATACTATTTAAAACTCTGACTCGGCGCATTTTAATATAAATATCCTTTCAACTAGAGGTATTTAATATCCATTTACTGCTGTGTAACCTTAAGAATGAAGAATATAAATAACTGCTGAACTGTCTAATATATTTAAATAGATGTAAATACTTTGTGGCCATGCTGTTAAAATATAACAAGAATCTGTGAAACCTGATATGCCTTTAACCAATTTGACTTTGAGAGCAGTGCAATACCATTACCAGTGTGTCCTTAGGAGTAAACTGTTTTGTCTAGTGCTAGTTACTAGGCCTGGCATCACTGCAAGCTGTTCTGGCATTATTTTGGGACAAATGCTTTCCAAAGGAGGTATTTCTGGCAGTGGCATCAGATAATTTCGTATCTTTAAATGCCTGCCAATAAGTGAGCTGTGTGTGAGTTTGACTGTCGGTCATCTGGATGATTTCTTTCATAGCTTGGCTTCTAGAGTATCACAGCATTTTGATGTGGCTCATACCCTGGAGGTGAAGGGAATCAGGATGGCATCCTTTATAATCAGAAAGACCATGGGCTGCCAAGAAACATGAACTCATCAGCAGCCTGCTGAGCTTGGCATGGAAATTAGATAGATTATAGAAGGGTTTTCTCCCCATCCTCCTACCTCATGGGTGAAACGCAGCTGTAGTTAGCTGCTGTGCAAAATGGAATCACAATGACTCTGGAGAAATCAATGTCACCTGAGCATTTGTAAAGTGGTTTTAGTAGCACAGTTCCTTAACTGTAAATGTCGCTTATTATGAGTAACTCAGCCCTGTGTTTCTTAGCAAGTAGGAAACTTAATTTGCAAGGTTCTTGTCATCTTGAGCTTATAATATTACTCAAGAATATGTAACCATGCAGTGTGCTCACATGTCCAGTGCCCAAGTATGCTGATGGGATTGATCAGCAAGTTGGGAAAGTGCCTTATTAAGCTGATCAGTTTTCAGTCTCTGAAAGTTCTAGTGGGAATGGTAGATATGACCATTTCCAGTCTAAGGTTTCTTAAATGGGAAGTTATTATGGCTTTGAATCTTGCTGAAGGCTTTTTTTTATATATATATATATAAATAAGTCACTCTTACTTAGCTTAGAAAATTCTGTTTACTTTCACAGGGGCTGTTCATTGTTTTGTGTTTAGAACACATTTCATTTGTTTAGACATTATATTTTCTTGTGAGTAGTGAGGGGAAAAAATGTTGAGCTGCGCTTTTCATGGCCAGTATAGAGGAATTATCTGTCCGTCTTGGAAGGGCAGTGATTTGGTGGGGTCCTGGGGTAGGCAGGCTGCTGATTGAGCTTGTGGGGGAGTTAAAGCATCACTAGACAGCTCTTTGTTTTTTGGAGATTTCCAAGGTGAGAATTTTGAAAAAAGTGAACCCATTACATCAGGTATCGACAACAAGTGTCTTGAGGCAAGACAACCTGCGTGACAACCAGTGTTGACATGTGTGAGAAAAGTAATTATCATCTGTTGGAATATTAAAGCTGTTTAGCTCTTGCTTTATATTTCAGTGAGCTTGACTGTCTCAGAACAAGGTACCTGTACCTTGCAGGGGATGACGGGCACAATTACTGCTTTGTGTACTGTGTTAACAAGAGTGAACTGGTAATCCACAGCAAGTCAGTGCCTTGATTTTATTGCAGTGGATGCTTTGAAGAGGTTTGATATAAGTTCGGAGAGTAGATTCAGCTGAATGTGTTATGGTTTGATTACGTTTATTTTTCATTATATCCCTTTTGTGCATGCACAGTACCTTTAGTCTGAAAAAATTTCTCCTACTGTATTTTCTTCTTTGGTAATATTATTCATAAAGCTTTGAAAATGTATGTTTTCTGGAAGCCAATAACTCTTTAAAATATTGCAGTACCTGCTCCGGTCATCACTGCCACAACTGCTAAAATGGAGGTGGTTTCAGCGGAAGTCAACAGCTTGCTCCCTGAGGAAATAATGGACACTGGTATAACTCTGGTGGAAGATGACAGCATCGAGGCGGTTATTGTGTCGTCGCCAATGGGAGACTCTATTCCCATGGAAACGGAACTGGAAGAAATAGTGAGCATAAGCTCCACCAGCGACTCCCCAGCTACAGCCACAGTCACTACAGAATCAGTTACTGCACCGAGCAATCACTCGAGCGACACAACAGTGAACACAACCCCAAAAACTGATGTGAATGCAGTAGTAAAGCCTACCTTTCCAAGTGGCCTACATAAACTTGGTGCTCAGACCCCCGTCACTATATCAGCCAATCAAATTATTCTGAACAAGACTGCTGATATTAAAATAGGCAATCAGAATATTAAACCAGATGGGCAAAAACTAATTGTAACAACTTTGGGCAAGTCTGGCCAACCTATTGTTTTAGCATTACCCCACAACCAGCTCCCACAAGCACAGAAGGCTGTGTCCCAAGCCCAAGGTGGAGACTGCAAGGTACAAGGCCAGCAGATCAAAGTTGTTATTGGAGGTCGATCGGAAGTGAAACCTGTTGTTGGTGTCTCATCTTTGACGCAAGGAAATCAGTTGGTAAATACTGCATCCCAGCCTTCTGTTTTGCAGACCCAGCCATTAAAAACAGTACAGGTAAAGTGAGCTGTGCTGATGAAACATATTAAAAACAATTTTGTTGATGCGAATGTGGTCCATTTCCTTCACTGAACTGACACCTGGTTGCTTTCAGCTGTTGCGTTTATTCCTTGTATTAACAAATACAATGCTACTCTTAGCCTATGCTTTCATCTGTGGATGCATTTACCATTTTATGACCTTTTACTTCTAGCTACTGTCTATAAACTTGGGATTTGCCTCTGAGAAAGTGAGCTATTAAAATTCAGTAAGTTGAAGAGAATTTTCCCATTATTAGAATTTTATAAAAAATTTCGACATGCTTTCAGGAAGACTGAATTGGACCCTATATGCGTGTTCTTTATTCTGCTATTTGTCATTAGGAATTCTGTAGCTTCCTTAATAGAAGCTGTTACAAATGGACTTGCATCTAGTTAATTGCAGTTTGAGTGAATTAGTTGTGCTGTGGTCTCTTATTAAACCTTCACTTGTATTTGCAAAACGAATTGTTAACACCCTTCATTACTTTCCTCTTATGAGGAGAAAGTAGAAATGAAAAGCAAGGCTGGTTATAAGTTGGTTCAGTTGGTAATAAGTACATGATACTGCAGGAAGATTATTACATTAGCACTTCCCAGGCAGTGCTTTTCCCTGTAACAAATTATAGGGAAAAGTGAAGTATCAGAGGTACATATTATATGGAGCTAGGTGTGAGATTCATGGTCTGCCCTATAATGAATGGCATGCCTTGAGTCCCTGGCTTAGAAAATGAAGTTGGGCATTCACCCCATCATCTTGGACATGCCTCTTAACCTTTCAGCGAGTAGAAAAAGGAAGCTGTGAATGCCTCCCTGACTCCCAATGGTCTTGTGTATCGTATCTCTTGTGGCTATGTGAATGGGGTATTTTGGATAGAAGGCAGCACAGCAGTTGGACTTGGTGTTGAAAAGTGAATTGGTAGAAGATTAGTTGACAAAGACCTCTCTTCAGTTCTCCTTGCATCAGCACTGTTGCAGGGGCTTTGCTGATAATTAGAAAAATTCAGTTAGCCTTGCTCTAATTTAATTACGACGTTTGAAATCTCGGCACTTGAGAAAAGGTATTGATAGAGTTGAGCACATGTTCCTTGGAATCTGGCTTCTTTGATTACAATTTTAAAGGTATGAGGCTGTGAGATGTAAAATGTGACAGGGCCATGGGCTTCATCTATATCCAGAGGTTTGTTACTGTCCCTTGGCAGCTTGTCCTGATATAGTGGAAAACACTGCCTTGGATGTGTGGCCAAAACTATTGAGTAAGTACATCTGCTTTCAGCCTATGGATCCTGCCCGTGTACAGGCTTAAAAACAATGATGTGCCTGCTGGTGTACTACTTCAAGTCCAAGTGCATTAAGCAGGAGTTAGACCTTGCAGGTGACTCTCAACCAGATTTCCAGACCCATTGCCATTGCTGTCAGTAAGCTAGTCTAACTTGAACTTGTCTTGATGTGGTAACTGGCTCTGCATTTAGTAGTTATGTTTCCATAGTATTGTTGCTAACATGGCAAGACAACCGGTTGCTACACCATCATTTTTGCTTTATGTCATCTTTGGAAAGTGACATCATGCACTCCATAACCTCAAACCAAACTCCTATTCCTAGCTCAATTTCTTAGTTTTCTCTGAAGTATACCATTCTCCTATTTCTAGAGTCCATGATTTTTCATATTATGCCAAATATATATTACATAGGGTGTGGTTACATTGACAAGCTCCCATGAGATCATCTAGGGAGTGCATTTATAGTATGTTAGCTCCTTTGTGGTAGCTGACTGTGTGGGTATTCAATCCAGCAGTAATGCAAGATATGCGTGTTCCTTTTTCTGTATGAGCAGAACATGATTTGACAACAGAAAACAAAGACTGGCTGTAGAAACTTGCTACTTCATCTTGTTCTGTGTAGAGTATTTAGGAAGACATGAATTTTTCTTTAAAATACAGGTGCTTGCAGAAAAACCTCTTCTGAAAGGGGAAGAAGGTTGGTGTGTTCTTTTAAATGTAATAATTTTCTTATAGGAGAGCTTGATGCCCCATGAAATATTTTTGCAATCTTAATTGCATGGGCAGAGAAATAATACTAAGCTTCCTGTGATTAGTACAAGCAATGGCAAAGGGCTCTGGAGAACTTGCTGTTTCTGAAGTATCAAAGGGGCAGTCTGTCATCTTGATTATTTCCTCTGGTTTCTCCAGTCTGTACTGAAGTGGGTAGCAAGTTTCCTGCTGATGCCTAGAAGGCTTTCACAGGTGGCTGGGGAGTTATAAGCTCCAGTGGCAAAAGCTTCAGAAAGGATGGCTTGGCAGCAAGTAAGGGCAGGAGTACATTGCCTGCACTTGTGAGCCAAGGGGGCTATTCCTCACCTATAACCAATCACATCTGAGTTTTGCCATGTTTCCTGAGCCCTGAGGAGACTCACTCATTTGTTAGAGCCCATTCTTTTTAGACAGTTTACCCAAAAAGTAGGAAGGAATTTATCTGAGGACGATATTGCAAATTGAGTCTGAGGGAAGCAGGGCTACTTTCCGTGGCTTGGGATTATTAGTTTTCTTTCTGAAGTACTTCATGTTAACAGGTGGCTAATATTTTATATGTACTCATGTAAGTCATTTAAACATATTTATTGACTGTTACTGGGAAATGACTGCTGTTGCCCAGAGCTGGCTGTTGCTGCTGGATGTTGATCATGTTCAGAGCCAGACTTTGCCCTTCCTTCTGAGAGTAAAAGCAATAGTAGTTGAGTTACAGTACCTTAAGGCAGGGAAAGATGAATTTCAGCAGAACAAAAACCACAAATCAAGCAGATGAAATGTGGGGAATTTGTCAGGAATTAAGACGTACAAATTTACAAAAATATTTGCTGATAAAATGCCTGCTCACCTATCAGCTCTGTACTAAGAGAACTGAGTCCTTGAAACATTAAAATGGCGTTGAGTAAAATCCGCCAACTGGGCTGTGAATGAAACTTCCATCTTCAAAGAAGTTACCTCTCAAGGTTTTAGTTAATATGTTTCCAAAAAGAGTATCTTTTTTTGTTCTTGTTTCATTTTAAGCCTTGACTAGTATATTACTTGACTTTATTTTAAGCATTGACTATATTATATTACCTATAAAGCAGCTAATGTGGCTTGGGTGCAGCATATTGGGGTAAATCACCTGCCATGATCTGAGTTTCCTCTGAGGACCACTTACTAGTACTCTTTTAATTGTGAAGCAGCACATGGTTTTCTTTAAATTAGGTCTTTTTCTCTGTCACTGCTTGGTGTCAGAGCTGCTCATTGCTGGCTTCCCTTGGCTGAGCGCAGCTCAGGTGTGCAGAGGTGGTGTTTGCTTTACATGGCAGGCTGAAGGGATCCAGTGCCATAGCATGAGGGAGCCCTGGCTTCCCTGTCTGTGCTGTGAGTGTACTGCTGAGAGTTGAAACAGCCTCATTTGCTCTCTTTGCCAGGCAGCTGTGGAATTTGTTATGTGCTACCAAATACTTCAAATGTTTTGGTGTTACTCTGCTGTAAAGTAGGTGTTTCAGTCAGCAAATTCTATAAGTAGAATAGGGTTTTTTGTAGGATACCGTAACATTCAGCCTGCTCAATTGCTTCATTTAAGCACCTGCAGCTTTCTCAGGCTGTCATCTCTATATCTTTACATGCCAGTGAGATTTCTCCAGTTTAGCTACTTGATTAACAAAGGTGGTTCTGTGCCTTTGGGAGGTTGCTTACCACGTGGATGCCCATGTCATGCCTCTCTGATATTGCTTGAGTTGGCAGCTGCTGCCCCTGGGATGTGGCTGGGTTGTGTGGTGGAGGAGAAGCAGTATGGGCCCGACCTATGGGCTGAATAAGTGTAAGGGCTTCAGTAATACCTTCCAGTACTCACCTGGATTCAGGGAGGATCCTAGTGATAGTCTGCATTGGCAGGCAGCCTCTGCAGTTATATAGAAACTATTAGGATAAATGCATCTGGTAGTTAATTTCTGTCAGTGTGAAAAAAGGGAAAAAAGTCTTGTTTACGACTTTTAAGACTAACAAAACCCTGCTTATAGACATTTAAGTTAATCTGTCACATTAAATTGCACGTTATGTGCTTCTGGGCCAGCTGTGTTTCAGGAGACTGGATCACAGAAGTAAAATTTAAAAAAAAAGAAACCCTTGTGCCTAGATGTAACAGATTTGTTCTTGACCAGTGAGTACCCAAAACTTTCAGGGACTGATCCACATATTTTGAGAACTGCTTCCCCATTTTCAGAGTAGAAGTGTGCTGCTATGTCATTATAGGCCAAGAGATGTTTTGGACTGCTAGTTGTCATATTTAAATAACTTAAGGAACAAATTTTGTCCTGTTTGGCTAAAAAGTAGTAACTTTTACAGTTTGAAATATTGAGAGCTGTGCTTTTGAAGAGGTTTGCACAGACAGATATCTTAGAAAAAAAGCTGTAAGGGATTTGGCTATCCTGCTTTAGTGGCTGGTTTTCTAAAGTGGTGTGGATGATATCCTTGTTCTCCCCATAGTGAGAAATGGAGGTGAAATGTGAGATAAGCAATTATTCTAATTATGTGTGCAAGTATTGCCCTTTCTATTTTCTGATGTACTTGACAATGCAATAATTCAGATCCAGAATGCTCAAGTTACTTTAGATTATTATTTTTACCCTCTATCTTTCAGATTGCAAAGAAGACCCGAACCCCAACCTCTGGCCCAGTGATCACCAAGCTGATCTTTGCAAAACCAATCAATAGCAAAGCTGTTACAGGGCAGACCACTCAAGTGTCACCAGTCATTGCAGGTTGTACTAGTTTGACTTGTTTTGCTTTACCATTTTTAAGAGCTGTTCAGAGAGATGATAACTGTAGAAATTTTTCTGTCTCAATGATTTTAGTGCAGTTTCTGTTGAAGTACCTCAAACAATTGGAGGGGTGGAAATCAGCAGAGAATTTGTAGGTAGAAGTAGATAATGTAGGTTTTGGTACCTTTACACTTATTTAGATTTATCTTTGTGGTTGTGGAATTTGATCATTTTGCTTTTACTGTAGGATGCCTTTAGTTTCCAGATGTTGGGGAGGAGAAAAGAAATACCAAAGGCTATACAATAAACAAAGTATTCATAGATAAATTCTGTAAATACACAGTAGGGAAAAGGAGGCACCTGCTTGTGTATTACTTTAATCTGCTTTTTGTTGGTCTTAAATGTGACAAATGTAAATAAAAGGAAAAATGTTTGAGTGGAAAAAAAAGTGACCAAAATCTGTGTTTCTGTTAGAGTTGCTCACCTACTTAAAAAATAAGCATTGCAGAAGAGTCTAAGAAAATAATTAAGGCAAATAAGAAATGGGTTGTCTCTTAGGAAAACAAATCTGTTTGTGTCCTTTAAAGAAAAAATCCCACAGTACAGTCATTTATTATGTCAGTGGGACTGATGTGTCCCCTGTGAAATGCATCATTGCATGTATGCAGGTAATATCTTAGACATGTCTAAATTATTTGAAAAAGACAAATGTAGGAAGCCAGAGTCATCTTCAGAGCTTTGAAGGATGCCTCCAGCTACTTCCATATTGACTGAACCAAGTAGGCCTAAATTTTTTCCACATATTTAAACGGGTTTTTTTAAGCCTCTAAGAACTGGGATTTGAGCTGGTTTTAAAAAGAATGCAACTGTCTCCTTATTCAAAACATTGATGGGCACATAACTGAAACATACTCTTTTCCTTAAGTTGTCAGGCTTCCTTGCACCCTGATGCCTGACTTGTGTTTCAAGTGAAAGAGGGATTCCCTCTCCCACTCCCCAGTTTTTCTCCTTTCTGAAACAATTCCCTACTAAATGTACAGACCTGTGAATAAGAAGATTGGTTCACTGTGTTTATAAATATCTGAGTTCGGCAGTTTGTGTATTTGAAAAAAATACAACAAGCCAAAGCAAACAACAACAAACTAACAAAAGAAAAAAACCCTGAAATGAGCCATTTGAAGCTGCATTACATTTTTGTCTGGCAATACGTGAAAATTGGTAAACAGGAAGGAACCACAATAAAAATAATACTAAGGAGAGCATGTTTTTAAGTTTGTTGCCTCCAGACTGAAAGGAAATGTGCATAGCAAAACATACCTACATAATACTGACAGGCAGGTATGTTACAAAATAAACAAACTTCCAGCTTTTAAATCTTGGAAAATTGAGAGTACAGGTTCCTGTTCCTGTGAGAGAAGCATCACCTAGGAAATGCTTCTAATGGAGGTGGATGTCTTTTTAAACCTCTGCCTTTCCTCTTGCCATCCTGAACAGTCATCACAGTTTGCTGGTTTTGAGAGGCTGACATTATTTTGGGGAAGGTATTACATTTGTGTGTTGTGTTTTAATTTTTGTGTGCATGCTTTTATGAATCTGATAAATTTTTAATTGCTCTGGAATTTCTGCAAACTGAGGTGGAAGTTGTAAATTTGAAAGACTTGTCAATATAAGCAGCCAGGTTCTGTTTAGGAACCTGATGCCAAAGGGTACAGAGGGGACATAGTAAGAAAGGGAAAACCGTCACCAAGACGTAAATGGTAAAATTCCCACACTGACATTTTTCATGTTGCATGTGAATTAACAGAGCAAATAGTTGCCAGCAGCTGCTACTTAGGTTGCATAAAAGTGAAGGTTATTTTTGAACACATAGACTTCAGAGGAAGGCAGCTTTCCGTAAGGATAGTGCTTTCTCTTGTTAGTTGTAGTTGACTTAATTGTCATGCCACTGATTGGATGAAAAAGTTATGCTGGTGTTTGTTTCTTATTTTGATAAAAGTAGTACAAGAGAATGGGTTACAGAGAAGCTGTAATAGAAATGAGTCTGAGCTGAAGTGCAGCAGAGCAAAGCTCAGTCAGTGGTCAAGCTGGAAGTATGAAAAATAATAATAATAAAATAATGATAATTAAAAAATGTTTCCCACACTGGGAGTTTTGCAGTATTCCTAAGACATTTCATGATTGGAGCCGCTGGTTTTGATGTTTAACCTTTTTCGCTGTTGTAAAAGCAGATCGTGTGTAGAGTTACACCACCACCCACATTTTCATAGGAGTGTCATATTTTCTGTTAGGCAGTGAAAAAAACACCAATATGGAGAAGACAAAAAATACTTAGATTTGAGCATAGACAGATCAAACCCTTTTTTCTTGGTCACTGTAACACAGCTCATTTCTGATGGCTGAGGATTTTAAAGGAAGTACCCCCCACAGATGCTCAATTTTTCGGTACGTTGGCGTTAGCCCAGAAGGTTCCTAGGAAACTGTCAGCTGGATGGGTGTTTGGGCACAGGGCAGGGTCTTTGGAAGGCTGTGTGCCTCAGTATGCTGTCCTGACTTTAAAGAATTTTCGACTTAGTATCACAGAAAGATCAATGTATGTTTTGGGAGTTTTTAAGAACAAGCTGCCATTTTTATTTTCAATAATGGCAGCTATTTTATTCTTTGTTGCTAAATATTGCTGATGTTCTTCCTACAATGTGATACGCTCGCCAGAGTATTAACAACTGTACAATATGCAGAGAAAAACTTTGCTTTAAAAATCAGTGTAAACAGGGATAACTTGAGCTGATGATATCTTCGTTATTTATAGGTAGGGTTCTTTCACAGTCTGCTCCAGGAACACCACCAAAGACAATAACGATCTCTGAAAGTGGAGTCATTGGATCATCTTTGAGTACAACTACACAGCAGACACCAAATAAAATAGCTATTTCGCCACTCAAATCCCCTAATAAGGTAAGGGTCTGATTCTGGCTACAGCCTTCTATCCCTCCTGCACAGTTGTCTGAATGGAGCTCTCTTCGTCTTTGCTACAAGCTGTTTATGATCCCTCTACTCCTGTCGCAAGCCATAATGCTCTGCAGTAATGGCTTAAGCTAAATTTTTGCAGTTGGCTTCCTTACTGTGTTTTTTAGTAACTGTGCATTACTGTGTACTTTCCCATTCTTACCCTGTCTTGCCATTCCCTAAACATCCATTCCAAGAGCAACCGTTCTCTCTTAACCAAGTGCTGAGAGTTTTTGTCTTTTTTTCTTAATGCCTTCATAAAATGTCAACAGGCTGTTTAGGAGGAGGCCTCAATGATGTTAATAAGTCAGCACATAGTAACCATTCCCTGCTGCTGCATAGATAATTTAGTCTTCCTTAATCACATCTGAAGTGAGAGAGATTTGTGGTGGTCCTTGACAATTACAGAGCTGGAAACTGGCACAAGTGGGAAAATAGATAGGAAAGATAATTTATCCGTCATAAGCTCCTTCACAAATAAGTGTCATGGTGATGCTGGTATTTTAGGCTTGGTAAAATTGTCTTGAGAAGAAGAATATTTCTGGAGAAAGGAAAAGTTGGGGCAGGGGAAGATGCATGGTGCATACAAACTAAATATCATATATAAAAATTAGCATAAGAGTAAAGAATTCTCTTAGTTTGGCAATGCTTTAGCTATGTATTGTTATACAAATGGAATGAAGGACTTGTGTTTGAGAGTTATTACTGAGGGAAGCAAGACAAGCAAGAAGTTTAAAGCAAAAAATCTAGAATCAAGATTAACAATGAAAAGACTCTTTAGGGTTCCATCTCAAATTTACTGTGAATAAGTAATTTTAAGTGTCTTTTAAAAACAAATGGTTTAAAAAATTGGAAGTTTTTTTTTTAAACATGAAGAAGGGAGTATAGAACAAAAAGTAGAAAACCAAACTTGGAAGGGATGTGGCTATATAGAATATTCAAACACTGCACTCTGCAGAAATGTGGTCAGATTGGATTTCTGTTGGATACTGGAAAGCAGATTTGACAATACTGATATTCTTATGCTTTGAATGATCAGTAGCATAAGGTGAGATTTTGGGGTTGGTCTTTTTGGGGGGGGGGGGGCTAGGTTGTTTTTTTTTTTCATAGCTCTCCTTTAAAACTTCTTTTTATGATGAAGTAGTGTGGTACTGATTGTAAAGCTGTTATTCAGAAAACCCATTCTTGACAATGCTCAGGCTTCAGTGGGCAGGTTTCCGTAAAAAACAAACCAAACAAAAAACCCAAACCAAATAAAACAGAAGCTGTACTGGCTTTCTGCAGGGGCCTTTTGGCACTGGAAACCAGCAATACCTTGAAGTTTCTAACATGTTTGCTGTTGTTGCACACACAGACCTCTGTGAGTCATGATTAAATACAGTGCTCTTGTTCCCAGAAAGAACACTTTGTACTGGTGGAGATCTGTACTTTCATGAGGAGGGGAATGTGTATGTACAGGATCTTTTATCCTGTGCAGAGATTTAAACTGCATCTTTGTTTTGCCAAGCAGCTAACAGTGGTGTCAGTGGCCTCCCAGCCTCCCAACTCCCCCCAGAAGACGGTGGGCGTCCCACTGAATGTAGCATTAGGACAGCAGATCCTCACAGTGCAGCAGTCAGCACCCTCCTCCCCTGGGAAGGCTATAGTCAACCACACAACTGCCCAGGTACAGACTGACTTTCCTTTGTCTTCTAGCATGTCTCTGTGTCATCACTTGCGGGAAACTTGAGTTGTACCGCAAATTGGCAATGGTCAGTCCCAAGGTGTTCTTGTAATGGTGCCTACTTAAGAATTGGCAAAAGGGTGCAAAAAAGAAGAGCATCTTCAGTCAAGGGGTGCAAACCGTTGCAAATACATGCAAGGGTGTGCTGTCAGAAAGCGGCTTTCCAGCCTGGAAAGCCCCGCTTGGTGCAGGTTCTCATCTCTGTATGCTGAATCTCCCAAGTCAACTGAAAGGCTCCCTATGATATGAGGAAGAGTTCTTTGGGTGGTTCTACCTCTTGTAGCAGGGTTTCTATGCCACTGACTAGGGCTGCTTTCAGGGAGTTTCTGAGGTTTGCAACAGTTGAGTTGCAAGAGTTCTTATGGCAGAGGTCTGCATAAGCAAGATGCCATGGTCTGAGACCTACAGAATTCAAAAATAGTAATTTCCTGTGTCCCATTTCCAGAAAAATGGGATTTATAAATTGATTTGCATTAATGAATGACTACATAAAACTGACCTTTCTTGAAAACTACAGTTTTTACATTTTTCCTCTTTTGTAAACTGAGGAGAATCTTTTTCTGTCTTACTTGTTTGCATTCTTGTTTTGGTAAACTTGAAGTGATGCGTACGAGTATAAATAACCAGAGTGGATATAGCAGGGAGTAGGCACGGTTGCATGTACAGCACCAGACCAGAGACTCGGACAGGTTTTGCCAGTCTCGTCTTACTTTTGCAAATGACAGAATGCTGATATGGGGATGTGAACATGAGTATGATTTTAATTTATTTCGGAGTAAAACTAGCAAAATTGTCTCATTGACATAGTTGTTAAAAGGTTAAGTCATTCTAATGCAAGCACCTGAAGTAAAAAAAAAAAAAAAGAGGTAGCTGTGGGGTATGCATACCAAGGTCTGACACAACACAATGATTTCACCTCCCTTCCCTGGGCTCAAGAACATGCCTTTGGAAGACCTGGCATTCCAATTCTACAATTTTCTGGGTTGTCCTTGGACTGGAGCCACTAGCTTGTGTGGTAGAGGGAACTTTGGCCACACTGGTCTCCCTCTGATAACACTTAAATTGCGAGTATGCTTACAGATAGTCCTTATTTTGAATTGCTCAGGGATGTTAAGGTTTCAGTATATTTAAAAAAAATATCACAAGAAAGAGCTTTCTTTTCAAATACTGGGCTTATTTCCAGTGAAATATGTGCAAATTGATATTTCATTTGTGTAGCTGTTGAAAGCTGGGGAGCTGCGAAGAGCTTTTACTATGAAGTCACATCATACTATCAATCAAATTTAATACTAAAACTTAATGGCCAATACAGTGATGTTTCATATTGATATTAAAAGATACTGAGAATAAAAAAGCTGAGCTCCAAAAGAAGTTAGGTGGAAGGATAAAGAGGAGGAATAAACCAAGGTTTGAGGTTGTCAATAAGGCTAGAAAAAGAGGCTGTTATCAAACTGATAGTTTTGAATGTGCGTAAACAAAAATAAACACTTGATTATTATCAGTTTGTAGTTTGAGAGTGGAAAGATGCACATTCCAGACATACTGACTTCCAGCTGTGAGGTAGCACAGGTCTGCCAAGCTCCCTTTCTTTCCCATCTTGGCTTTTTTAATTAAATTTGTTTTCTTACTCTACACTGTTCTTGCTTCTTTCATTTCTCAGCTGGTACCATCTTTCTCATGTCTTCAGCTATCAGCTTATGGACACTGTTCCATTTGCTTCTCAAGGGCTGCACAGTGATTTCTGTGTGTTAGTCACAAACTGTCTTAACAGGACGTATCTATGTACACAGTGATAAACCATGCCACAGTCCAACACTAACAGTTCTGCAAGTTCTTACCATGTGGTTTTATTAGTAGGAATATATTTCTGGGCTTGATTTTGCATACAAACTGAGCAATGTTATCTGTACCTGAAGTCTTTTTAGCAGACATTATATCTGGGGAAGTGGACTGAGTCACCCTACTCATGTAAATATTAGTTTATTCTGGTGTTTTGTGTAGAGCATTGAAAACGGGAGTTTCCGCTGAGCTGTTGAGAGGCATTTAATCTCTCTGCATCTGTTTTACTTCTGAAAGTGGACGTAACTTGCTTCGCAAGGATACAAATGGATCAAAAAGTTACTAACTAAGGAATAAATGTGCTGATGTTTTCTTTGCCTTTGTACAAGTAACTTTGTGCTGTCTGTGTTGGCTTAACAGGCTGTGAAATCAGCAGTGCAGACCATTACTGTAGGAGGAGTGGGCACATCTCAATTTAAGACAATTATTCCCTTGGCAACTGCACCCAATGTTCAGCAAATTCAGGTACCTGGAAGCAAGTTCCATTATGTCAGACTTGTTACTGCCACAACAGCCAATAGTTCAACTCAGTCAGCCAGTCAAAATCCCAGTACAAATACACAGCCTCTTCAACAGGGTAAGTGCTAATATATTGTCTGAAGTTTTTCTTGGGTTTTTCATGTTTGTTTTGTAAGGATTAAAAGCAGTGCATGATTGAGATCTATCAAGACTGACACATGTATTTGGTTTTGTGGTAAGACTCCTATACATTTCATATTCTGTTATCTCTGATTTGTATGTGGAAATACTCCTCTGTGACTAAGTGCTCTGTAGTTGGACCTGAATCTTTGAAGCATTTTATGTTGCTTTTCCCTAATATGTCAACTTTGTGGGTGATGTGTGGCAAGTCCCAGATCCTCTATGTGAAAAGCATGAAGCCAGGACAGTCCACAAACATGTTGCCAGAAGTCCTGCAACTTGAAGATCCTTACATGTAAAATTCTTTAGAAGCACCAGATTTTACTGCTGGTTTCTGTCCATGGTTTCTGGAGCTGTGATGGAATAAAGGATTTCAAGCCAGGCTGTGGTTTGCGTATTCTCCTCTTGCCAAGAGAAATCCAGTGTCCAGAGGAGGTCTGCACTCAAGCTGGTTTTTAGCTGTGAAATGTGTGTGCACTCTTGTGCCAAATAGCTCTTTACAAAAATGTTCTTTAGACATAAGTGTTGTGTGCCATGAGTCAGGTCAGTTAATCTTGGTGCATTAGTTACAGTTTAAGTATCTTTGCTTTAAGCGCATGTGAAAGTCTGGAGGACTTGTCCGTGGAGTCTGAATAATGTTGTGTTAATGTGATGTTGTTTCTTGATACTAGCAAAGCCAGTGGTAGTGAATGCAACCCCAGTGCGGATGTCTGTCCCCATAGTGCCAGCACAGACTGTGAAACAGGTGAGCTAAATATAAAAGGTATATTCCTGACTTAGTTTGGCTGGGTGGAAAAAGAAAGTGGTTTCAGTACTGTAATGAAATGGTCTAATAGAAGTACCTTTTGAATGAACAAAACAATGATTTCATTACGATCTTTCTCCCCAGGTGGTACCCAAACCGATCAACCCAACTTCCCAGAGAGTTACTACTAGTCAGCCCCAACAAAGACTTATTATGCCAGCCACCCCACTGCCACAGATACAGCCCAACCTCACCAACCTCCCACCGGGCACTGTACTGGCACCAGCACCTGGTACAGGAAATGTTGGGTATGCAGTCCTTCCAGCTCAGTATGTCACACAGGTATGCTGTTAACCCAGAGATGAAGAAGGACATAGTGCTGTCATGGAACACACTGCCTTCCTCTTAAAGTTTCTTACTTCCCTACTGTCACCTGACACGTAAGGGAACAGACAGTTTCTTTTAGGGATCCTTGGCAGAATGATGGTGGCACTAAATCATAGTTATAATTTAAGCTGTATTTTCTTAACAGGATTTTTTTATTAGCATAGCATAGGATCAAAATAGTAGAGAATTTCTATAATCAGGGTGAGTGTAGTACAGTGTAAGTAGTGTAGTACAGAATTTGTAATGTAACTTAGTTTATAATTTCTCATCACCTAGACCCTCTGCAGGTCAGGTCAGATCTTAATACATGGTTTGCTTTATCTATATAACAATAGTAATCTGGACTTGAAAATCATACAGAAAAGTGCAAGTCACTCAGAAAAAGCAGATGTCAGTGGAAGCATCCCTGGCTGCTGCAGAAAGGGTCACAGGTCTCACTGTCCAGCAGCAGTTCTGGTTCAAGTTTCTCATTTAGGACTTGTAACTTCTTGATTTTATAGACAGTGCTCTGTGTGCTGTTATGCTTCCCTGATCTGTGGCAGGGACTTTGTTGTCTGGGCGCCTGAGACCTTCACAACCAGTAAAGAAGGGAGTGCCCAGGACTCCTGAGACCAGTAGCAAGGGGATGAAGAAATCTATTTAGTTTGTCTACTTGGTTCACAAGACTTTCAGGGCCTGATAATGAGGGGAAAGGGAACAAATATGTGACCCACTTTGTCACAGAGAATGGCTGCTTGCATTATAAAATTGTGTTAGTTATGATAACCACATTATCAAGGGTCAGGAGCAGGTGGTACTGGTCACACCAGCCCCAGGATTTGACCAACACTCGGAATAAAAAGGAAAATAAATTAAACCTTCAGCTGAAGGCTGACCAGCTAGTCTGTACGAACAGTGACTCGTGGCATTACTGTTACCAGTGTCACTTCTGGTTCCTTTCTGGTTTTGTCACAGCTGCAGTTTGACCCTGAAGACTCTTACTGGGTCTTTCCACTTCCACAAATCTTACCTTAAACTAAATACCATTTGCTGGACCTATCCTCAGAGGTTTTGTGTTCCAGACACAGTCTGTCCCCTGCGGCCTGGCCCCAGTAGGTCCATGTTTTATGTGCTAATCTGTCTTCAGAACCTGTCCCAGCAGGAATAAATAACTGCATGTAGGTAATACCAATGAAGGTAGCCCAAAACAGCATTGTTTGGCAGGTTTATTTCAAGGTTTTGGTGGGGGGGGGGGGGGGGTGTTATATGAAAAACAAACTCTGGGTCCAGGTATATAGAGAATGTAAATCATTTTATTTATTCTTATTTAATTACATAAGTGGCTTATATATAAAGGAAGCTGTTAAAGTATTTGTGCAGGAAGCAGTCCTGCTCTATTGGGGCAAAGCAGGGAAAAGCATTTTGAGCATGTTTTTAGGAGCTGGAACTGTTTGTGGTGTGAATGTTTGTGTGTGTAGTCTGTTATCTGTGTGGCTGTAGCACTGTAATAGAGAACAAAAATATCTAAAACAGTGTTTTTATGCTAAGTATGGAAGCAGGAAATTGTTGCCTTGTCCAAATTCTACATGCGTCTGAAACTGTGCTTACAGCATATATTATTTTTGTAACAAAGACTAGCTACACATCCTCTTGTGTATATTCTAATTTCCTTTATTACTTTATTAACCTTTTTCTTAGCTACAGCAATCATCATACGTATCTATAGCAAGCAACACTGGCTTTACAGGGACACCTTGTATCCAGTCCCAAGCAAGGCTACCATTCAATGGGTGAGTGTTTTGCAACAACAACAAAACCTGACAAAATCGAAACTCCTGCAGTGTAGACTGCTGAATGAGCATCATCTTTCAGTCCCATTGTAAGGAAGGGTGGGAGCTGAGGTGTTGGAGTTTGGTTTGGGATGTGTTCCAAGAAAATCAAGTATACTGTGGTATGGTTATTACCTCTGAATAAAGAGCGTGGATCTGTGACAGTTGAGCCTGTTTCCTGATGAAAGCTGTGTTTTGATTTATTTTTTGAACTCAGTAGCAGGAAGTTGACCTGAAAGTTCCCTGTTGCTCATTCTTCATTTTGCATCATACTTGGGAGCTACAGGCCTAGTTTTTTTCTGGGCATTGCTGGAAAAAAGATGGTAGATGGTACAAGAGCTAAATGGTTAGCATATGCAGAAATCAAGCTGAACAGCAAAATGGGACTGAAGCCTAAAGTGGATCCTAGTAAGAAGGTGTTGGTGGTTTTCAGCCTTGTATTTTTCCTTTAAGGATGAAAATAACGGCTAACACATATTATTTTCCCTTTGTCAATCCAGCAGGCTTAGATGTTCTGCACAGTCCTTTTGTGTTATTGTTTGCTGAAAATTGTAAACAACAAAGTGCTTTTTGTTGCTGCAGCCTCAACTAATACAAACTAATCCCAAATACAGATGCCACTATTCAAATGAATGGGTTTGATTTAATCTCTCTGATACTAGATGCAGAAATTGTTGGATAGGGATGGAATGAACGTCATCAAAAGTGATTAGTGACACAAAATCTGAGTTTTGAGAGCAGTTAACAGGCTGTGTCTGATATAAAATTTATCTATAAACCACTTTCCCATTATTCCAGAATTTTTTATTTGTTTTTAATTCCAACTAGAACACAATGAAAAGCATAATTATTTTGAGTGAACCTTGTCCCCCTGCATGTGGAGAAGTTCTGGGGAAGTTTTCACTGATTCCAGTTTTCAGTTACAATGCTTCCTCTAGCTTTAAGCCTCGTTTCTACTTCAGGCATGAAGCCAGATTTGTAGCAAATAACCCAGGTCTTTGAGTTTGAAAAGCATTATGTAAAGGTAGTGTGTATAATAGTTACTTAAACACATTCAGCCAAAAAAGTAATGCAAGGGAAATATAAAGATTTTTTTTAAGCTTTTATTATGAGCTATTTACTTGATTTTAAAATAGGAAGAAACTGATAAAGCGCTGTGCATGCATCTAAATGCACTTTTTTCCTACACAGAATAATTCCTTGTGAATCAGCAAACCGCCCCAGGAAGCCTTGCAATTGTACTAAGTCTCTATGCTTGAAATTGTAAGTACAGCTTGGGTTTGGTTTGGCGAGTGGTTTTAAGCCTTATTTTTGACATCACAAATTTATGCCAAATATCAAAATATAACGTGTTTATGTCAGAAATGTTGTGTTTAGATGCTAATTTAAGGTTGCTGTTGATATCGGTGAAGATGTTGCAGTGCCTGTGTAATTTTGCAACTCCTGTGAGCTATATGGACCCTAACATTTAACGATTTTTCTAACTTCACAGCCTTGTTGTATGGTGGAGCCAGTTCCATGCAGCAGCTATAGTTGTGTTGTTGCTATGATTGAAATGACATCCCATGGTATCATCAGTGGGCATCTACTATACTTTGGGAAAGTGCATCAGTAATACCATGCTGCATCAAGTACTTCAGAAAAATTGGGCCGTGTTTCTATTTTCTTAAATGACCAATAGTCAAAGGATTCTTCACTGATAGGTCTGAGTCTTGCTCACTCTGATTTATTCTGTTATTTCATTCAGTGTCTTTGTAAGAAGTGTAAGAATTTTAAGGCCATTGCAGCTTGTAAAAGGTTTTGATATAGTTTATCTCTGAGACCATTCAGGATGCTGAAAATGACCAATGCATTTCTACCACCTGAAAGGCTGTAGTGGACTCCAGGGCAACCCTAATCTAGTTCTTGTAGTATTACCCTGGGCAAGCCACGGGAAGTCAACCACCCTTGAGTTATACCTGTATCTTTAGACAGCAACTGGACCTGCACTAGAGGATTTAGGCCTTGCAGTAAGGCTGATACAACTTGCACGCATGAAGTTGAGCATAGGGTGACCCCCTTACCTTATTGGTGCGTGTGCATATTGTCAGACTAGGAACTTGTGCTGCTGCCATCAGTACTAGCACCAATGTAATGGTCATGCTTACAAATGCCTTCTGCATCTTCTGTTTCAGGTACTGTGATTGTTTTGCAAATGGTGAATTCTGCAATAACTGCAACTGCACAAATTGTTATAACAACCTGGACCATGAAAATGATAGGCAAAAAGCAATAAAGGTGAGGGGCCTCTTCCTCTGCCCTGGCATGAAAGCCGTGTAGCTTCTATCTTCTGAAGCTATGGCATGAGGCAGAGCGGGTGTATAATGCCTTGATCTCCTCCCACAAGTGGAAGGCTTAAATCCTTTTATTGCACCTCTAAATTCTGCTCCCTGCATTCAGTGACTGACCCTTTGGGTCTGCATTGACAGGCCTGCCTTGACAGAAATCCTGAAGCCTTCAAGCCCAAGATAGGGAAAGGAAAGGAAGGAGAATCGGATCGGAGACACAGCAAAGGGTGTAACTGTAAACGCTCGGGATGTCTCAAAAACTACTGCGAATGTTATGAGGTACAAAGCATTATCTCTTAAAGATACTGGCTTTTTCCCTTCAGTGCTGCGACCTCTCTTATTTGCTCTGTCTCTTTGTATTACTATCATGTTTTCTGTTCTGTTCTTTTCTACTGCTGTAATGTTATATCTTCTCCCAGCAGCTTGCACATAGAAAGACTCGTATATGGCAAAACTGGTTACTTCTGCTTTATAAGCTTAACTGTAAACCACATAGCAACTTTGAACTTGGGCTTGAATTTGTCCTTTACTGAGGAACAGGATTTTCTAAAGAAATCTGCCGCTACAGTTCCCTAGGAGATGTTGAAGCAGGAGCCAACAGACACTCTGAGATAGAACATGTCTGTAGAAGACAAGCAAAAGTTGTTGCATCAGCTGACTAATCAGTCTGTGGATGTGGCAGACTGACCTCTCGTAGCTCAAACATGTAAATTCCACTGGAAACAGTAGATTAGTGAACAGAGGGATGAGTGGGTAACCATTGATTTGCCTTTGATTCAAGTATGCATTCTGAGAAGGCATCTCAGTTTGAGGTGAGAAGTTAGAAAACTAGCGCTTGGGGATTTCTTCTCATGGTTAATTGATGAAAGATGAAAACAAGATCTTCATTTTGTTGTGGCTTGTCATAAAGGGAGTCAGTTACACGAGGTTTCTCATTTTTTGTTTGTTTCTTTCAGGCAAAAATCATGTGTTCTTCCATATGCAAATGCATTGGCTGTAAAAATTTTGAAGAAAGCCCAGAGCGAAAGACATTGATGCATTTAGCAGATGCTGCAGAAGTTAGGGTCCAGCAGCAAACTGCTGCAAAGACCAAGTTATCTTCCCAAATCTCAGATCTGCTGACAAGGCCAACACCAGCACTCAGCAGTGGTGGTGGGAAGTAAGTTATGCAGCACCCTCTTTCAGTTGCTTCTAATGTGTTTTTTTTCTATGTGACAGGTCATCTTTGAATGTTATCTGTGTAAGCTGTTGAAGCGCTCTCATGAATGGAACTTTTTGTTCACACAACTGTGCTTTCTGTGGAACCTATGGTATGCCAAGCTTACCTGTGTTCAAGCACATAACTAAGCTAATCTTCTCATGGTTGCCCATGTGCTCACAGAAAGCATGAAGTACAAGTGTCCCATCTACTGAGAGGATGTAATCCTTGAGTTGCCCTTAAAGTAAAAGTTGGAGAATTCTATGTACTTGGGCATTTCTATTTGAAAATGTACATCCATGGAGGCAGGCACCAAGGCACTATGGCCCGCCATTTGGCTGTAACTGTGGTTTATTCACTCCCTTTTGGTTGCCTGAAGGCTTCTGGAAGCAATAGGACAGATGAAATCTCATCAGTCCTTGTATTAAAATGTTGCCTAGCCCTGGAGTTAGGCACATTGTGTGTTTTTGCTGAGAGCAACTGGATCTTTCGTTTCAGGTTGCCCTTCACGTTTGTAACCAAGGAGGTAGCTGATGCAACCTGTGAATGCCTTCTTGCACAGGCAGAGCAAGCAGAGAAGACAGGCAAGTCAAAAGCTGCAGCAGAGCGCATGATCCTGGAGGAGTTTGGACGCTGTTTGATGAGAGTTATTAACTCTGCAGGAAAGTCCAAAAGTGACCCCTGTGCCATGAACTGCTGACTCGTGCACATGAGCCACAATGAAGTGGACAGAACAGAACACTTAAGGCACAGGGACACTTTGGTTTGGCATAGAGGATTTAGTATTTGTTAATTTGGTGCTTATTATAAATTGACCTGCATAATATCGAAACATGCAAATCTTTTTATAACAATATGTAGAGCCTTTGAAATCTTAGCTAAATCCTCTTCTACTTAAGACAATGCTTAATGGTCAATTTTCTTCCTGGTGTACAGCTTTTACCTTGGGTTTCTTAAAAATTAGATGTATTCTCCTCTTTCCCCCAGAATAATTACCTGAAGGGCATATATAAATTATTATAATATATATCATTACAGTGTATGGAGTTGCATTACTTTGTGCATACAGGAAAACACAGGTGATGTCAACAGATAGGTGATGCTTTTGGCAACAGGCCCATAATAAGGAGGTACCACTGTATCCAAGATAATTCTGAAAGGAAGTGTGTAAAAGCATCTAAGTAGAAGGTAGTACTTGTATTTGGGACCTGACACAGAATATTCCATTAGCACATGGAGCACTGAAATACACAGGCAGTAATACAGAGGAGTGGGTTGCATATTTAGCGTTGGACAAGTGATGGAGAATCTTGCTGGAGTGGGCCCAAGGAGTTTAGAAGCTAATGGAATTAATGGGAATTTTTTGATAGGAATGTGGCTGAGAGCTCATGTTGGTTAAGCTGGAACTTGAAGGCTAAGACAAGTGAGTGGCCTGTTCTCAGAAGTGAGGAAGGGCAGCCACACCACAGTGCCAGGTATCTGCTTCAGTGTACAGTGTTACCTAACCATGCAGCCAACAGATGCTATTTCTTAGGTGTTTATCTGGTTTTTCAGAAGTCTGTGACAGCCTAATCCCTCCCTGGAGATAGGGCTGTGCGGTCTGTGGTGCTTTTGAGGATCAAGCTGTAACCCTGGAAAGCATTTAAGCCTAAGAAGCTGAGGTCATGGGAAGTATTGGAACCACAGTTGTCTTAATGAGGACTTGAGAAAATCTGCATCCAAATTGACTTGCAAACAGAGGTAGGGTCATGTTCAGCCTGGTTGCGGGTCTTCAGGGTGCTGCTTCTCTGTATGTTGTCAGCTTAGTTGGCATAAGGGATATTTAAGTGTTGTTTAGAATGACTGAGAGCATGATCAGAGAGGATGCTAGCACAAAATCAGGTTTGCTTTCAAAACAGATACACAGATCCTTTTACACAAAGCTGGGGGGGGAGGAGAGCAGGGGCAATAAACTATAGCTGTGTACAGACTTAGGGCAGGGGATATTTTTCAGTATTTGTTACAGGCAATCTCGGATCATGTTTCTGGTAGCAGAACACATTTGCAAAATTAACCTAGTAGATTATTTACCTACCATGGGTGTCTATATATTTTAATCACAGGCATTTTTATTACCTGTCTCACTGCAGTCTGAACTATTTAGTTTTTTCCAAAAAAGATTTAGTATTCCTCATGTAAAAATGTAAATACAGAGAAAAGCAGCAGAGCTCTTTCTCCAGGTTTTCTAGCAGGGCCAGGCTGGAGAAAGGTAGGGGTTAGGCAAACCAGCAGCAGAGCTAAGTGCCTACATGTATGATGGCAATAGGGTGGGAGGATGCTTCCCCTCCTGTCTTCACCCCAGTCTTGTGCACTGAGCAGAAAAGCCCTTGACCCTTCTCTGGTGCCTCCTCAAAATGCCTCAGGGGCTTGAAGGGCCTGGGAGGTGGCCAGCAGCAGTGACCATTGAGTCGTCTTTGCAAACAAGGTTTGACCTGCCAGTCACTGTCTGAAGGGCCCTGTCTGCTATTAATATTTCCCTGAAAATGAATAGCAAGTCTCTGAAAAGGGACTCCACCTCTTATGTACATATTTTTTTTCATAATTAGGACTTGGATTTACTAAAAAATCAGTGCAGTAATTTTACATGTAGATAGCGCGGATATTCAGTTTACTTCTAGTGACCTACTATAGTATGTCCAGTAAGATTTGTATAAATGTAAATTAGTGTAAGTGAATAAAGTAATACCTACTTACGTTATTTTCCAAACAGATTGCAATATGCCTTCTTTTGTTTAGACTTCAGTCCATGTTAATTTTGTATATATACCATGTCTTACTCTAAATTGCACCTTTTGTGATGTGTATTTATATACAGTGTGCAAAAACACTTGTGAAATTTAGATGACAGTTGTAATTATGTATGATGGTATTGCTTGAGAATATTTTGCTTGTAAAGACTTTAAAGGTGCAATCAAATGCTCCTAGTTCTTCTATTTTGTTTTGAACAAGCTTTCTCAAATATTAAGCTTGGATTTCTCTCTCCCCTCTCCTTGGTGTAGAATGTGTGAATTGGGTTTTGTACTTCCTTAGCCATTTGCATCAAACTGCTGGACAAGAGTTACAGTCAGGTTCATTCAGCTACATAAAAAGTAATTGGGAATGGGGCAAAGGGTTCATTTTCTAGTTCTGTTTACATCTGAAAGTAGACAAATTAAATTTATATTTACTAGACCTATTCAAAGAATACACTTTTCTATACTGTACAAATGAAACAGTCCGATAAATCACAAAGAAAAATAAACCTTTATACTATTCTGTAAATACAAATCTTTTGTACTGCTTGCCTTCAGCACTGAGTATTGTTCAAAGGTGACTCTCACTGAACTATCAAAAGACAGTTGTTAACACCAGGCCTGTTTCTGATGCAAGAACTGGCCTGGATTTTCAGTATGAGATCACATCCTGTCAGAGATAAACCCTTGGTTACTGGCATACTGTCGTGCATAGTAATTTGTGTCACGTGGTGGCATAGTTCATAAAGGGCCAGAATGTGTGTGTCAAGCCAGCACCAGGTAGCTGAGCCCATGTGATAGTTTCTTCATTTCTTTTAAACTCTTTAATGAGAAAGCGAGGGGCTTTTTATGTGCATTGGCTGGGTAATAGCTAGGCTCAGACTGAGCAGAAGGACATCCTAGGCCATTCTGCAGTGCCCTTGAAAACAGCATGGTGCTACAAAGAGCTCATTGAGGACCACAGGCAAAATTTTGAGGCAGAGCTTTGTGGAGAGCCTTAGCCTGCTTGTTAGCAGGATACAATGTACTGGTTTCTTGTGGCTTTTGTGTCTTTTGCAGAGATTTGTGAGCAGCTCTTGCAAAAACTCCATTACTACGTTGCATTAAGGAATACAAGTCAGCTAAGAGAGCTTATGGTTTGTTTCTCAAAGCCTGGTTTTATTTGTGTGCAGCCAATTTCCATGTTCAGCTAAAAAAAAAAAAATTAACAGTGTGGCAAAGGTAGTGTACAGTCAATGCTGAGGGAGTCTTAAGAGTGGTGTTAGGATGCTGAGGGAACAGAAGATGTTACTGGACTGAGCTTTTCCCCCTTCTACACCAGCTGCTATGAGAGAAGGCTCTCTGTTACCTTAGGGTGCAGTTAGAAGACAGAGAAGGAATGAGGTGCTCAAAGTGACTTGGGATAAGTTTGTATGAAGGGCATGGTAGAAGCAAGAGTGAGCGTGTTTCAGAGATGATGAATGTCTGAGCAAGGAGTTGCTGGGAAGAGAAAGCACTGTCCAAAAGACACTGTGGGAAAGGGAGTAGTGTGGAAAATTACTTGATTGCAATTGTGGTGTTAGGAATGCTGAAAGACTCCACTGAAACTTGACAGCTCCTGTGGTGCAAGCCCAGTCAGCACTATCTGTGGAGGGCAACAGAAGGTATGTCTTTCTGGGAAATAATGGCAATTGGTACAGGGTTCATAATACAACTGTCAAGTTTCCTTTAGAGTATCTGACTAACTGGGTAACTGCCACACTTCTAATTACATGGTTTAGCTCAGACTTCATCCTACCAAGCTGTGTAAAACTTCCTCGGCATCTCTTGGAAACCTCTGTCATCAGTATTTCAGTGAATTACAAAAGGATGTGTGAACTGTGGCAGTCATGGGTATGGGCAGGTCAGCCACAGGAACACACAGAGCTCGGTGTCAGCCCAACTGCAGCAGTTTCCAGCTTAGTTCACTGGTGGGCAGCACAGCACAGCACAAAACCCAAAAGTTCAGAGGTGGTGAAGCTCTGTGCAGAGCATGCCTGCCACGTTCACACCTTCATTATTGGCCATGAGCTCATGCACATCTTTGTGGATGACCTTCCCATTCAGGAGGAGGCTCAGTGTGAACTAAGCAAGACAAGCTCCTCCATGTAAAAAGAAGGCGGCAGCAGGCTTATGTACAGCTGAAACAAACGCACAGTGAGGAAGTGCCTGTTCCCAATGGCCCAGCTCATATTGCACCTGGACATGTAAGCAGTACAAGTGTTACATTATGTGAGTGCAACCAATCTGCCACTGGGATTTCAGCAGTGTTGCCGGTTGCCCTAAAAATTACATATAAATGAGAAGGAAATAGTTTCCTAGAGTCTCTTGTAGCTGCAATGGCTCCATGGCAGTGACAACTTCAACATGGCTTTTTGCACAGGTAACTGGACTGGTGGGGGATGGAACTCTGGAGGTTTTGGTTTGCTACTCCCAGCAGAGATTGCATGAAGTTCTGGGGTGCTGCTAATCTCAAAGCTGAGCCTGAGGAATTGAGTGCAGCAGCTCTGCTCCCACCATAAGTAGGACTTAGGGGAGGAGGAAGAACCCAGATTGACCAGAGCCAGTTTTGTCCCTAGTAGGCAGAATGTCACCTTGAATATTATTCCTGTCCTGAGACATGATGGATCACCTTTTTTCACTCCATCTCCAGCATGTGGCTTGAAAGTGACTTAACAGCCATAGTTTTGTGGGAAATAGTTGCCTTCCAACTCTATGGCTGCAACTGCTGTTCTGCACAGCTAAGTCTAGCAACAGTTATGCCAAACTTTGCTATTCCAGGTAAAGCACTGCATTCCAAGGCAGCTTCCTTGCCATGGAAATGAACTGAACAATTCAATCCTGCCTGGTACCACCAAACCTGTTTCAAGTAATCAGAGGAAACAGTATCTGTACCCTGGGCTGCAGGGGACATACCAGTTCTGGGAGGATGGGGCCATTTGGCACAGTTGGGGCCATGAAATGGGACTTGAAATGCTTGCCCTGCTGCAGCACAGCCATATGCTGGTGCCTGGGGCTCCTGCCCAGAGAGGAGGGTGTCAGCACTGCTGGGTGCAATAGCCTGGGCCCAGCCTTGGTGCTACCCTTTCACCTTTATGGACAAGAGCGCCTCTGCTCAGTATCCACTACCTCGCTTGTAAAACATGGGGTTTCGGGGGTGCAGTTTGATATTGTAATTTCCCCCTCCAGGGGATCTAAACTAAACCAGCTTGTTTAGCTGCTTGATAAAACACGTAGGAGTGGAGGCTTCTGTACAACTTTAGTGCCATTTTCTTTTCACATCTTTATTTTCCATTTTAAGTAAGAGCTCTGCCCACTTTCTTGCTTCCAGCTTTTTTAAAGCGGACTTACTTTGGTGATATCAAACTTGCCAGCATGCATGATTCTCCTCAGCCATGTGGAAGATGCATCAGTCTACTCCTGGCAAGTGCATTCATAGCACTAAGCTATCCAGTGCCTCTAGCGTACATTCTGCAGTGTCCCCTGCCACTTCCCCAGGCATCTTGAGCAGCCATCACTAATCCTGGTCTGCCACATAAGTCATACAAACTACGTGGCTGCTTTGCAGGATTGCTAGAGGGAACACAGGATCAGATGTGCTTCCTTGCCTTGCTCAGCCAAATCAGGTGCTTTGCAGTGGCCCAACATGTCATGCTTATCAACACCAGTTTTGCCAGCCAAATCATGAGAAGACACCACATCACTTCCTTGCTTGTGTTGCCTAGATCTGGCTATCACTGAGCCTCAGAAGCAGCCATCCTTGGAACAGCACTGAGTATTCATGATCCCATGTGGGTTTGGCCTGACTGACAGCTACCCAGTGGTGAGGGAAACAAATGTTTTCCCTTCACTGTCTTCAATTTGTGCCTTCCACAATGGTATTTCAACTCCAGGTGTTTGGCATAGTTTGTTTTGACCTTTAAATAACATCGTGTTATTTCCTTTACTAAGATTGTGTAATGATTGTTGACACACGCCTCCCCATGAAATAAATGGTTTGTGAGAGTGGGGAAGATGGAACTTTCTCCCAGGAGCTCCTGGAAGATTTTCTGTTCTAGGGACAAGTGCCATAGCTTGGTGTTTTTGTTGCTGTCTCCTACTTTGCCGTACCAGTTTAGGACTTGTTCTGAAATGCTTGTTATGTGGTACACACTTGCTGAGGGCAGACTCACCCCACCTAACTTTTTTATGTAGAGGACTGACCTGCATCTTCGCCTGCTCTCATCTGACTCAAAGAGGGAAGCAACACAAACCTCACACTGCAAGTCAGAGGCTAATTGCTCAGCAATGAAGCCCGCAGTGCAGGTGATGCTCTGTACATGCAGGGATAGGTCTGTCAGTGCATTACCCAGTGTAGAGCCACGCAAAAGAAGGCCTGCACGGTAGGGGTACTCTGTTGCCAGTGTCCTCCCATGAGCTGGGTTATACTGATTCCGAATGCTGCCAAGGGTCAGATCTCTCCCGCGAGACAGGGCTACGTTCCAGGAGCTTATACTGCCTGTGCCACTGCTGTGTGGTGAGCCTGGTGCCAGGTTGCAGCCAGCCAGCAGTTTGTGATAAGCAGCCTGGAACACAGTGCATGTGGGATTCCCATTGCCACAGGCTTGCTGTAGAGTCCTTAGAAACAGCTCCAGGGGGTCGAGGCTGAAGGCGTAAGTCAGGAGGTGGTGGGAAGAAGAGCTTTCTGGAGACACATAGTTGGTGTAAAGCCACTTGAGGCTTTCAGCATTAAGCAAGAAACTCAGAAATCCTAGTTTCCGTTTGCTCTTAATAATATATCTCCCCATAGAGTCCGTGAAGGTAATAAAGAAGCTCTTGGCCTCATTAAACACGTGGGTTATTTTGGTGTGATTTCCAACTAGCAAAGGCCCCATCAGTCCCATTCTATAGGGACCTCTGCCATGAAATACATCACACAAATGGCTCATCAACCGCACAAACTTGACAGTACCGCTGCAGTTCTGGAATGAGGCCAGCCCCAGTTTCTGGAGGTGTTCCAGCGCATCAGCAACACCCTCGCTGAACAACGGAGTAGCAAGGTTAACCTTCAGGTAGTAACTCCCCTTACTCCCAGATCTGCCTGACTTGGAACTGCACAGCTCCAATATCCTCTGCTCCCGCAAAGCTGCAAGCTCCACCACATGCTGCCACCGCACGGTGTCACCAGGCCACTCTATCTTCTGGAAGCACTGCAGAGCATTCCTTATCAGCTGGAGGGCATGGCAAACATCAAAGAAATATGTGATGCTGTGAGCAGAGCCGGGCGGATGCTGGAAAGTGCACTGAATCCTTTCAGGATCCATCCTGATCCCTAGAGCTCTGGCAGTCTGAGCACCGCAAGCAGTGGCACCTGATGTCACAGCCAGCACCCTGATGCCAATGTTGTTCAGTTTGTTGATGGCCTGACGAAGCAGCTGAGCAAGCAAGTAGCCAGTCGTGCTGTTCACAAAGAAGTAGCCAAGTGGAGCTGCCCAGGGACTTGAGGTGCCAACTGCCATGAGGATTATTGCTTCTGAGGCCAGCGGAGCTTCATCAGCATCAAGGATGCCTGCACCCAAGTCAACAAAGCCTGTCAGGCACTGGGTTTGTGGGTCCCACTCCCGCTGTTTCTGCAGGGACATGTCTTGTACCATCAGGGCACAGTAGCAGTAGTCCTGTTCCCCTCTCTCCACCTTTTCCTGAAGGCAGAGAAAAATGTTGTTGCTGAAGCCTGCAGCAGCCTTATTAGTAGACAGCCAACTGGAAAAAAAGGGCAGGGTGCGATTAGGAGATTTGATCTGAGAAAAGGGAAGCAACAGTCACCACCTTTTACCACACAGGACATAGTCAGCCATGTCTGGAGCTGTAGAGCAGGCTAGGGCAGAGTAAACCCTGCCTTTCTTAATGCATAGTCTGAGTTTCTGTTCTCACACCCTAGTGGTGGGAAGCAAAAATACCGACCATGAAGGGAATTAAAGCAGCCTCCTGCCTTTCCAATATATAGAAGGTCAGGACAATTAAAGATCAGGAAAAATTAAACCAAACACAGAATTACAAATCAGGCTACGCAGGTGGCCAGCAACACCAAGCTACTCTCCTTCCCAACTGGTTTTCTCCACTCTGCACACTGTAATCCAGTTTGGATGATGTGAAACCCTCGGCAGCCCATGTGGAATGCTGTTGTCCTCAATACACTCCCTTCTGCTGCTCCTTCAAGCAGGTTCTTTGTAGGAAGCTGTGTGAAACACCCCAAGACAGGTATGGTCAATGAGTGTACCTGATGAGCATCCACCAACTGCACTACAGGAGTCTGAGACTCAAAATCTGTAGGGGGAGTTTCTCCAGCTTTTGTTTTGTGTGTTGTTACAACTTCACTCTTGGTAAATGGGTCTGCTAGCACTTAAAGTAATAAATTCTGAGCCTACATAACTACTTGTGTGGGTTACGCAACTGAGTTATCTGATACAGAAGTATCTCCCTTCTGTAACTTTGAAACAGACACTTGTTGAGATTCACTAACTTCCCAGAGTCCTTGTGGGACAAGGTGAAAAACCCCAAAGCTCTAGTCTTAACTGCTTTATGCAGTCCTTCTCTTTTCCCGTGTTCCCTTCTTGACTTCTCCCTCTTCCAGAAAGAGGGCCAAAGCTTTCCATGTATAGTCCTATTGGTTTTGATTTCCTCTACTGACATTTATTCCTGCCCATGTCTCCTCACTCAGTTTCTGCTGTTGGTGTACTACAGATGCTCTCGTAACACTGCCTCCTGTGGTTTCTTTTTAGATGACCTTACTCATAATATTTGCCCTTCCTTCAGTATTTGCCTCACCTCTCCCTTCTCAAGTCTACACTGCACATCACAGGGCAAGAGCATGTGCCAGTGTGGTAAAGCACATGTGCTTGTTCGTATTCCTCCTTCCTCCCCAGTGAACAGTAAAACCCATATAGACTCTGAAGCAGTTGAGGCCCTAAAATAATACCTTTTTTTCACACCCATACTCACCTGGGAATACTTAGCAAACTCCACACTTACTCTAAAATTGTTATTCTCATGCCGTGCCCCACATGCATGGACACAGAGCAGATCTCCAAGTTGAGGAGTATCAATATTTCTTGATGCTCGCTTCCCACTCTGCTTCTGTTACTAAACCAAAGCAGGGAAAAGCTACTGAACATCTTCAGGGCAGACCCCGTTACACCTATTTCTACAGGAGTACCTGCAAGTATATTCAGAACGAATGAGTAAAAACTTGCTTTGTCAGACTGCAAGGATGAGGGAGAGGAATAATCTTCCGTAGATAATTGTAAGCCTTAATATGGTAGAGGTGGAGAATACAAGCAAACTGCCTCATTTCTGGAGAGTATTCGGCCATCTGCCTCCAGCTGTGCAACTCACAAGGCAAATCTGCTTAAAAGAGAAAAAGTCAGCTTTAGTGAAGCACATAAACAGCTGGTAACTTAAGAGGGATATATAATACAAATGCTGCAGAATACAAGGCAACAGGGTGGCTTTAGGAACCAATCAGTCCTGAAGCTTGGTGTGTATAGCTCAGCAGTATTATCACTGTGCCTCAACTCTTCCTAGAGATGGGCAGTGGCCAGGAAGAGTGTGTGCCCTACCACGTTAAGGCCAAGACCCCAACACGTCTTTTCCTATCTAATGTCATCCCACAGTTTTGAGTAATGACTGTGTCTATGTGGGTGCTCCTTAGAAGCTGATATTACAGGAGCCATTATCTTATGGTTGACTGTAATTTGAATGGCTTCTTCAGTTTATATCAGTAATGTTAATAGAACTCATTTCCAGACAGCATAAAAGAGAAGGCTTTCCTAGTTAAATAAACTTTATTCTTGAGTCATCCACCAGCAGAATGATGTCATGGATTGGTTTAACAGCTTTGGTTATGTGTCTGACCTGAACACCATAACCAGCCTCAAGTAATTTTGCAGGGAGATTTTAATTCCTTGAAGGACTTGTTGTATTCCTGACCTGCAAATCTCAACGTATTTATGCTATAGCACTGGGCCTAGAAGTCTAACAATCAGGGATTTCTTTTTGGACAACACCAATATCATAAAAGTTAAAACACAAAACTGTGGCGAGGGGGTGCATACCCTGCAGCACTCTGCCTTAGCAAACGCCCCCAGCAGTACCTGAAAACTGTGCCTGCAGCAAGCTTACGGTTTCCTCCGAAAGGTGCTGCTTTTCCACCAGCTCCCACAGGACGCTCAGCACCGTTCTGGCCGAGCAGGTGCGGGGGCACCTCCCTGCCGCCGGGAGCTGCTGCTGCTGCTGCGAGCATTCTAGCGGCGGCCGCGCCTCCTCGCTCCCCGCCTGCCGCCCCTTCAGGCTGTAGTTGTGGTCCCCTGCGGAGGGGCTGGGGGGAGGCTGCTTCAGAGCTCCGACGAGGGCTTTGCTTCTCCGGCCGGCGCGCAGCGGCTCCTACCGGGGAAGGGAGAGGGGAGGTCATCGCGGCCCAGCGTGGCGGGGAAGAAGGGGGCATGCTCGTTCT